GGTGACAGGGTGGGGTGCTGAGGGATATTATGGTAAGTGTTTGGGACACTGCTGACATGTTCCACCAGGAGCCTCAGCAACTGAGTCTTAGGCAAGATGGGGATGTAGGACTGAGGGCAGAAACACTTCATATGCTTTGTACAAACCTCCCCCCGCTTTTGGACCACAACAGCACACATCATTCCCTTGTCTGACATGCCCAAGTACAGGTGGTGATATCCATGGGTAGAATCTCTGGATTTAGAGAAACATGGGCCAGTGCACTTTAGATTGCCTAAGACTGTTTTGCATTAGGGGAATTTAAAATGAGGGTTGTAGTGATCTGGATAGGGTATAGCTGATCTCAAGTCAGTCTATCATGCCTCCCCAGAATAGTCCTGTTCTAGTTGGAGGTGGGTGGGAGCTTGTGCCACAGCAATGCTCACCTCTTTCTCGCCCCCAAACCCAGGAGCGCTGCCACCACCCTTCCGCCTGCAGGAGGTGAAGGTACAATTGGTTGAGAACTCTCTCTGTGAGCAGCTGTACCAGAATGCTACTAGGCATCACTATGAGGATAGCAGGATTATCAAGGATGACAATGTGTGTGCTGGCAGTGAGGGTCGAGGGCCCTGCTTTGTGAGTCTCTTCTTTCTTTTACTCAGCCCACCACCATCATCAATGCTTTCTTCAAGCACTTATCACCTCCGTTCATCCCCAGGGTGACTCCGGAGGTCCACTTGTCTGTAAGAACTCAAAATCCTGGACCCTGTATGGAGTGGTCAGCTGGGGCCATGACTGTAGTAGGAGCAATGTTCCTGCAGTCTTTACTCGAGTTGAGACATATGTGGCCTGGATCAAGCAGCACACTCAGAGTTCCTCCTGAGCCTAGTCTACTGACTTCCCTGGTTACCCAAGGAGGAGCCTGCTGCCCTCCTCCCAGAGCCTGGGTCTGCTGCTTCTGTGCCTGCCTGACCTGAGACTCACCTTCTCCTCTGGTCTCCTCGGAGCCCTGGACTTCCATGAACACTCAGAGGCTGAAAACTCACTAGGCTGTGCCTGGCTCTTGCTGTCTGCCCCTGATGGGAGGTCACAGGGTGTGTGGGGCAGGGGCTTGAGCTCCATGGCACTGGTGCTCCAGTTTGCCAAGAACCCAGCTGTTGGAGGACACCTGGCATATTTCTGCTTTCTGCCTATCTTGAATAAAGACCCTGCAAACCATCCTGCTGAGGGTTTTGTGTGAGAAAAAGTTATGTTTTCTCTGGTAGAAAAACTCCATGACTGCCATTGTAATGCCTCTTTCCAAATGAGGAACCAAGGCCTAAACCCTCCACAGCTGGTGCTCATGTGAGCTCCGCTCTACATGTGGCAATTCTGTCTTCATGTCCCACATCCTGTCCTGTAACCTGGGACTCAGGAACAGTTGTCGGGTTTATATCTTGTCGACCTGTTCCCTCAAGGACAGAGACCCCCACATAAGTCCTGGACTCAGACCTAGATATGTTGCCCTGGAAATGGGTGACCTGCTAGTCAGAGCCCATCTTAACCACTTGCCCATCTCCTGGAAGGCTCAGTTCTCTAGCCCAACCCACCAGAGGGACAATACTTCCTACCTTGCTCCAGGTTTCCTGAGCCCCTCAGAGGAGGATGAAATTCAAGAGAATGGGCTGTACTACAATGCTGTGGTTGTGTGGGGGATTGGGCAAAGACCAGTGCAGGGGGAAATGAGGTAGGGCTTGGGATCCAAACTCTCAGGGAAGGTTGGCAAGGGAGGCAGCTATGCATGCCCAGGATACACACAGTCCACCTCCCCCATCTAGGGTGACATCACTTACAAACACAGACCAGAAATTCCAGGACAGTATGAGATGACACTGACCAGTGTGTCAGCTCTAATGGTCAAAGAGAGCTGCACACTTTCAGTCTCAGCACCTGGTCCAGCTATAGCACGGACACTGTGCACCCACACACTTGCTGCCCACCCACCTGCCACTCACTAGGCTCACTAGCCACTGCTGCTGATTAGCTGTCCTCCAGAGACCAAGGCAGTCCCTATTGGCTGTGGCCTCAATGTCATCATGGGGTGTTTGTGTGGTGCTCCTTTACCCTGGCTTGCACGAGGCTACAGAGTACTCTGGAGTACAGAGGTCTGACTTGTTTTTGAGCTGGGTTGTGTCCTTTGCTCTTCTTTCAGTCTCATGGTTGGGGAGAATCCCTGGGGAGATGGGAGTAGGCAGCAGTGTCCTTTGCCCTCTTTGGTCAGCCCTCTACCCACATCCAGTCTTGACCTACCATTAGTCTCTCTCTTTTCCATCATGCTTCTGTGACTGGCCTTTTCTAAATGAGGAAAACAAGGTAGGATCACTCTAAACATGAGCACAGCTACCCACATGTACACAGGTGCAGATTTTTCCAGGCATCTGATCCAAACATTTAAGAAATTAGGAGGACTCTGGGTGGCCTAAGGGACTCTGATGAGCTATGTTCCTTGGCCCCAAACACGCAGGCATGGAGCTTGTGCTGGACTGGTCTAACTTTTTAAAAACTTAGGAACAGGGGCCTGCCCCTTAGCTCAGTTCCTTAAGTGGCTGCTTCAACAAAGCAGTCAGGCTCAGGTGGCTGTGGTTCGATCCCCACAACTCCAGCCAGCCAAAGCTGCCCTGAAGGCATTCAGAGCAAAAATAAATAAATAAATAAAAATAAAAATAAAAACTTAGGAGGATTCTGGGCAGCCCATGGAATCCTGGTGAATCCAGCCCACACCCACCACCTACACTGAAGCTTTGTTAAGTATCAGCAAGTTGCTTCCACTAGTAATGAGAGCCTTGGTGAGGCCTACCCTGCTCCCCACTGTAGTGGAAATCTTACTGACCCATGCCCCATTGCTCTCCCGCCACTGCTAAGTCTGTGGGAGCTTCAAAAATGCCAAAACACAGGAGCAAAAGGCAATCTCAGTCCTCCAACCCACCCAGAACAAATCCAGGAGACAAAAACATACAAGAACTTGGAAATCACACACCTGAAATTTCTGAAATGATAGCAAGTGAAGTAAAGAAACAAGTGCATCAGGTATAGGAGAAATAAGAGCAGAAATAATCTCTCGGGTCAAAAAAAAAATGACAACAATCATGAAAAAACTGCTTAGCACAGCTAAAGAAGACAGATAAATTAAAAAGAGAGAGAAAGTACAGAACATCAGTGTAAATGGCCTCAATTCATCAATCAAAAGAAACAGATGAGAAGAATGGACTAAGAAGTAAAATCCATCAATAGGCTGCATGCAAGAAACACATTTAACTCAAAAGGAAATTCAAGCAGAAAGTCAAAGGTTGGAAAACAATTCTCCATGCCACTGGAAACCAGAAAAAAATAGGGGTAGCTATTCTGCTTGCTGACAATATCAACTTCAATAATCATTCAAAGAGATAAAGAAGATCACTACATATTTGTTAAGGGAAAATTGCAAAAGGAAGAGAGAGCAAATATATATATATACAATAATACAATTGTAATGGGGGACTTTAACATGCTACTGTCACAAGAGATAGATCAACTAGGCAAAAAAATCAACAAAGAAGTAACAGAATTAAACCAAACTTGTGAAGAAATGGACTTAGCAGTCCTTTACAGAATGTTTCACCCAGCAACAACACAATACACATTCTTCTCAGCTGCACATGGGACATTCTCCAAAATAGACCATACACTAGCACACCAAGGATGCTTAAGTAAATGTAAAAGAGCTGAAATTATCCCATGCATATTGTCTGACCACATTGCAGTGAAACTGGAAATTATTGATGAAAGAAATCACAGAAACACCATAAACACATGGAAATTAAATAACAACCTTCTAAACAACCAGTGGGTCACAGATGAAATTAAAAATATTTGCAATCAAATGAAAATGCTGATGCAACTTCCTGAAACCTATAAAGTTGCCTTAAGAGGAAAATTCATAGCAGTAAATTCACACATTAGGAAAACAGAACAAATACAAATAAACAATCTTATGCTTCACCTCAAGCTACTAGAAAAAGAACACATCAAGCCAAAGCCCAAAGAAGGCAGGAAATTATGAAGATTAGAGCAGAAATTAATACAATGGAGATAAAGAAAACAATGCAAAGAATGAATGAATCAAAGAGTTGGTTCTTCCAATGAATAAATAAAACTGATAAACCCTTGGCCAATCTAATCAATAAAAGGAAAGAAAAAACCCAATTTCATGCAATAAGAAATGAAAAGGATGAAATCACTACAGACCATAGAGAAGTACAAAAGATCATCAATACCTACTTCCAAAATCTTTATTCTCACAGGATTGAAAACACAGAGGAAATGGGCAGTTTCCTGGATACATATGAAATGCCAAAGCTGAGTCAAGAAGATATATAAACTCCGAATAACCCAATAATGGGAAATGAAATTGAAAATGTAATAAAAGCCCTACAAACAAAGAAAAGCCCAGGGTCCAATGGATTCACAGCTGAATTCAACAAGAAATTTCATTAAGATTTAATGTCAACTTTTCTCAAATTCTTCAATGAAATTGAAAGGGAAGCTATTCTTCCAAACACATTTCTCAAGGCAAAGATTACTCTGATTCCAGAGCCAGAGAAAGATCCAACTAAACCAGAGAACTACAGGCCAATCTCTCTAATGAATGTAGATGCAAAAATCTTCAATAAAATACTAGCAAGCAGAATGCAAGAGATCATCAAGAAGATTATATATCATGACTAAGTGGGATTCATCACAGGAATACAGGGGTGGTTCAACATATGCAAATCCATAAATGTCAAGAAGGTATATAAACTCTGAATAACCCAATAATGGAAAATGAAATTGAAAATGTAATAAAAGCCCTATCAACAAAGAAAAGCCCAGGGTCCAATGGATTTACAGCTGAATTCAACAAGAAATTTAGATAAGGTTTAATGTCAACTTTTCTCAAATTCTTCAATGAAATTGAAAGGGAAGCAATTATTCCAAATGCATTTCTCCACATCAATATAGCCAAGAACAAAAAACCACATGAACATCTTAATAGATGCAGAAAAAGCTTTTGACAAAGTCCAATACTCATTCATGATAAAAGCAGAAAATTGGAATGGATGGTCTATATCTCAATCTGATAAAAACCATCTATTAAAAAAAAACAACTGCCAACATAATACCAAATGGGCAAAAAAATAAAAGCCTTCACCTTAAAATCAAGAACAAGATAAGGATGTCCACTGTCTCCACTCCTATTAAATATAGTTCTGGAAACATTACTCACAGTAATTAGACAAGAGAGAGAGAGAGAGAGATACAAGGAACAAGGATTGGAAAAGAAGAAGGGAAATTACCATTATTTGCAGATGACATGATACTCTATACAGAGGACCCCAAAAACTCCACCAAGAGTCTTGTAGATTTAATAACCCAATTGTTATGTGGCATGATACAAAGTCAACACCCAAAAATCAGTAGCATTTTTGTACACAGTGAACACACTGAAAGATAAATTAGGGGAATCACACCTTTCAAAATAACATCTGAAAAAATGAAATACTTAGGAATCAATCTAACAAAGGAAATAAAAGATTTATACAGTGAAAATTATGGTACTCTGAGAAAAGAGATTGAAGAGGATTTGAGAAAATGGAAAGATATTCCATGCTCTTGGATAGGAAGAACCAAAATTTTGAAAATGGCCATACTCCCAAAATCATTATACAGATTCAGTGCAAGGAAGCACTTGTTCTACTGAGCCATCTCCCCAGTCCTCCCAGATTCAGTGCAATCCCCATTAAAATACCATTAGTATACCTCACAGAGCTAGAGAAAAATTTCCTCAAATTCATCTGGAACCAGAAGAGACCCAGAATACCAAAAGCAATCCTGGGAAACAAAGCAAAGGCAGGAGGTATCACAATCTCTGACCTGAAAATATACTATAAAGCTACTGTGGTAAAATCAGCATGGTACTGAGCATAGAGCATAAAGCATAGAGACAGGCCTGAGGATCAAAGGAACAGATTAGAAGAGGCAGACACAACTACAAAAACACTGAACCACCTTGGCCAAACATGTTCACTGAAAGAAAGATAGCCTCTTCAATAAATTGTTCTGAAAAACTGGTTTTCCACATGCTGAAGGCTAAAATTAGACCCATGTCTATCACCATGCAC